CATGATGTCAAAAGAGCCGAGGTGGCGCAGCAGTTAGAGTGTAGTACTGCAGGCCACTTTAGCTGACTGTGTTCAGCAGGTCAGCGGTTCAAATCTCACCGGCTCAAGGTTGACTCAGCCTTCCATCCTTCCGGGGTAGGTAAAATGAGGACCCAGATTGTTGGGGGCAATGTAAATATACACATTGCTTACTGGTGTACACCGCTTAGAGAGTGCTTGCACTTAAAGCGGTATATAAGTGTCATAAATAAATAAATAAATAAATGTCCTGGATTGCTTTTTAATCTTGAAACAAAATGTATGTCCAGCTGGCATTGGAGGTCTATTTTGATCCCATCATCTATCTCCATTGGTTGCCACAAAAAGCAACAACATACAGGCTTATGATTCTAACACAACACCCCAAGCTTTGAAGTTGCCAAGCTGCTGTTACTTCTTGCACTTTTCCTATTTGCTAGTGCAACAGTTCATAGAACTGAGCCGCCAGCTAATGGAATTAATTGATTGAACAAGGCTGATGAGAAGCACGGGAGAACTCCATTATTACAGCAACAGCAGCAAAAAAAAAAAAAAGGGGGGGGGGAAGCAATTAGGATGGGCACTATAGAAGAGAGGCAGAAAATAATCAGCAGATAATTATTTTCCAGTCACCTGTTAAAATTGACTTGACCACCAAATACAATCACAGAACAAATATTAAAAGAAAGGGGAAAAATATCAATAAGCTCACAGAGGGGAACAAAATATTGGCTCAAAGGCGCGTGTTTTGGACAGCAAATAAAAAGAACATGATGACAACAATCAATCATGAACTCCGTAGAGATTTTGTGCAGCAGGGCACCAAGGACTTTTATTATTAATGAGCATAATTTGGTGTGATCTGAAAAAGAAAGGGCCCACGCACATGGCCAGATGTTATTGCTGGTCGCAGTGAACCATTTAAAATACACCCAAATGTGGGAAATTTGTAAGCAAATTCATGTACCTTTACCTCCTTTGTCAATGATGATAATGATGATGATGATGGTTGGTCATGCAGCCAGATGTTTAGACTGGATCTGGTATTATTATCCACCTACCAAATCTTTTCCATGGGCCTGGGATAGGTAGATGTTGTCTGATGGTGTTAAAGGCATTGTCACAGGATGTAAGCTGTTACAAGGACAGGTTCCTTTTGCAACTGATGGTGATTTTGGCAATGTCAGTTGTTTCAAGTAATGCTGAAGAAGGTGAAGGAGGAAGAGGAGGAGGAGGAGGAGGAGGAGGAGGAGGAGGGGGGAAGGAGAAGGGGAGGAGGGGAAGGAGGATGAAGATGAAGATGAGGAGAAGAAGAAGAGGAAGAGGAAGAGGAGGAAGAAGAAGAAGAAGAGGAGGAAGAAGAAGAAGAAGAAATAGAAGAAGAAGAAGAAGAAGAAGAAGAAGAAGAAGAAGAAGAAGAAGAAGAAGAAGAAGAAGAAGAAGAAGAAGAAGAAGAAGAAGAAGAAGAAGAAGAAGAAGAAGAAGAAGAAGAAGAAGGAGAAGGAGGAGGAGGAGAAGTTAATCTATAATTAGATTGACAGTCAAAGACTGGTGGAAACTGAATAATCCAAGTACTAACCAATGAACAAAGAAATATTATTGTAGATAGAAAAATGTGAAATTACAGCTGCCAGGTCTTTAGCTGCTGTAGGCCTTCATGTGCATCAGGTTCATAGAATCATAGGCTGGGAAGGAACGTGGAGGTCTTCTAGTCTAACCCCCTGCCCAAAGCAAGAGTCCTTATACTATCCTGGAAAACCTCCAACAATGGAACACCCACAACCTCGGGAAGCAAGCTATTCCATCGATTAATTGTACTCACTGTCAGGGAATTCCAGGCTGGATTCCCTCCGATGAGCTTAAAGCCATATCTTCTGGTCCTGCCTTCAGGTGTTATGGAGAATAAGGGGATGCCCTCTTCCCCATGTCAGTCCTTCAAGTGTTGAAAGATGGCTATCATGTCACCCCTAACCTTGTCTTTATTAGGTTAAACTCAGCTATTTCCCTTAGCTATTCACTGTACAATTTAGTCTCTTTGTTTAGCCTCTCTTCTTTCTTGCTTTTCTCTGCACTCTTTCTAGGGCCTCAGCATCTTTTTCACATCATCCCTAGGCTCTAGAATGTCATAATATGTCACTGTAGCATATGTGCTGATACAAGCACTGTGGCCATTTCTTTTGGGTCCTCTCCTTTGGGATTGCTCTGTGTCGCCAGGATTGTTTCCAGAACATTCTGTGTGAACAGATGCAGGACATGTGCCTAGGCCAGGGGTAGGCAACCTTGGCTCTTTTATGACTCGTGGACTTCAGCTCCCAGAATTCCTGAGCCAGCCATGCTGAGGGGACAGGGAGAGGTTTCCAAGCTGAGCCATGCTGGCTCAGGAATTCTGGGAGCTGAAGTCCACAAATCATGAAGGGGCCAACGTTTTCCCCAAGCTGGCTCAGGAATTCTGGGAGTTGAAGTCCACAAGTCATGAAGGGGCCATAGTTCCCTCATGCTGGCTCAGGAATTCTGGGAATTGAGGTCCACGAATCATAAAAGAGCCAAAATTGCCTACCCCTAGCCTAGGAGCATGGAAGGCTTTCTCAGATTTGCGGTGCTTATGATTAAGAAAGGGCATTTGTTGAGGAAGTTGAAATAGAAAGACGAATGAGCTGAAAGAAGGATTCATGCTAGTAGGAAACAGTCAAAAAAAAAAAAAGACAAAGCTCCAAGAATTTTTCCCTGGGAAATTCAAGCCTGTGTCTGTGTTTGATGGTTAAGCAAAGCCCTGGAGACCAATATTTCATTATTTGCAATCATTTATTTCATGTCAGTTTCACAGTCTTTGCGGCAACAATACAGCTCATCTCCTCATATGACAGTCCTGTGCATGATTTTAATTGTGGCGCTTTGATCTCCCGAAGCTATTTTCTGTCCCTTCCTGGTACCCATCACTTCCCCTTGAAGCAGTTGGAGGCTGAGGACTGACCGTATGACCAATGGTCTTCTTATTAACCAAAACGTTCAAAATCAATTATTAGCAAGATGCATTCCAGAAGCAACAGGAGAAGTAGTTTATGAGGAGAGGAATGGAAAAAATGAATGAACACGATTTGCAGGGAAAGATCCCATGCCTGCTTCTTGTTTTTCTTGCAAGCACCGTTCCAATATTTGAGGGTCTTCTACAAAGACAAGGGGGGGTCAAACTATTTTCCAAAGCACCAAAAGGCAAGATGAGAAACAATGGTTGGAAACTAACCAAGGAGAGAAACAACCTGGAACTAAGGAGAAATTTCCTAACTGTGAGAGCAATCAACCAAGGGAACAACTTGCCTTCAGAAGTTGTGGTGCTCCATCACTGGAGAACTTTCAAAAAGACTGGACAACCATTTGTCTGAAATGGTATAGGGCAGTGATGGCGAACATTTTAGAGACCGAGTGCCCAAAAACCTTTGCAGCATTGTATGCACAAAGATGTGAATAAAAATATGCGTGTGTAAATATAAGCCGTCCAATCTCTTCTTAAAAACCTCCAGCTTGTGAAGTCAATTCATCCCACTGGTTAATTGTTCTGTCAGGAAGTTTCTTCTTAGTTCTAGGTTGCTTCTCTCCTTGATTAGTCTCCATCTGTTGCTTCTTGTCCTGCCCTCAGGTGCTATGAAGAATAGCTTGACTCCCTCTTCTTTGGGGCAGCCCCTGAGAGATTGGAACACTGCTATCATGTCCCCCCTCGTCCTTCTCTTCATTAAACTAGATATACCCAATTCCAGCAACCGTTCTTCGTATGCTTTATGTTTGCTTCTAGGTGTTTGCAGATCTGTTTCTTCATCTCAGTGAAGTTGACAAAATAACTTTTTTATGTCATTACGCTTCTCATCTTTAAATCCTCCCCCCCATGTTTAAAAAAACTTGTTAGGAACTAGATAAGTGAACCATCATGGAAACCTAGTATGTTGGTTAGAGGATGCAAAATGCAATTTGCAGCAGACAATAGCAACTCTTTAACTTTGTGCATCCTTTGGAATCAGGTTTATTACATCTTGTTTTCAGAGCTTGTCACAGCAATGCGTAACATCTGCGACGAAGACTTGCTGCTCATAAAATCATGGGATGAAATTTCAGCGTTGGAGCTGCCTGACCTTCTGCCAATGTGCCGTTCTTCCTGCTATGGCTACACAATCTGCTGTGGTTTTGGAAAGCTACACAGCTGGAGGTGTATTAGCATGAGCTGGACTTCATTGTTGATTACCTTTTATTGCACCAGGGCTCTGTGGCAGTGAAATATCCACATTTGCTCACAGCAGGAGAGAAGACCTTTTTCTCACCTGTCACCGTTTTTTTTTTTTTTTGGTCATTTTTTTTTAACCAAGTGACTGTTGACTCCGGGAGATGGTCCCTGAAGTTTTAGTAGTAGTAATAATAATAATAATAATAATAATAATAATAATAATAATAATAACAACAACAACAACAACAACAACAACAACAACAACAACAACAACGGCAGGAATTAAGAAGAGGGAATTAAGCTATTTTCCAAAGCACCTGAAGGCAGGACAAGAAGCAACGGGTGGAAACTAATCAAGGAGAGAAGCAACCTAGAACTAAGGAGAAACTTCCTGACAGTGAGAACAATTAATCAGTGGAACAGCTTGCCTCCAGAAGCAGTAAATGCTCCAACACTGGAAGTTTTTAAGAAGAGACTGGACAGCCATTTGTCTGAAATGGTGTAGGGTTTCCTGCCTGAGCAGGGGGTTGGACTAGATGACCTCCAAGGTCCCTTCCAACTTTACTACTATTATTATTACTAATTCAAAGCAGGTATATATTGACCTCAGCCCTTCCCCACAGACACTGACAGAACTAAAACTTGTAAGTTAACACAATCCGTGCCAGTCACTGGCTGCTGATAAGGTTCCCCTATTTATTCATTTATGGGTGCAGAATTGGTAGCTTGGATTCGATGTATATTAAAATATCTCACAGAACTTGTCAATGGATATATCTTATTTACATCTTTATTTAAACTTTTAAACAGTACAACTTTCAAACATTCATGTATTTATACATACAGGCACTGTGCATATATTTATATTTATATATATTTATATAAAAATATTTTTAACCCAAGAACCTAAGAGTCGAGAAGATTTTATTGCTACATTTTAGCATTTACATGAGAACGCAACCGAACAAAACAAATTTGAAAATCTCAAGCTGCTGAATAAACTACACTTGAACAAAAACAAAATTATAAAAATATAGCTTCTGAGACTCTTAAAAGAAAAAATAAATCGTCCAAGTGCCAATGAAGTACCGCTGTGCCTATAATTATTACAATTTTGTAAATAACTGCTATAAAAGCCGAAGAGCATTTTTTTTCCTTGTAGCTTTAAAAGGTATAGGAAGATAAAGTATGACAGAAGCCCTGTTTTCATTTTCTGTACAGAAATATACATTGAACTTGGAGAAAATATCCTATCATCTCTCTGTCTCCTGCACACTCAACAAAAACGCTCCCTTGTTTTCATGTGGGATGATTATATCTGGGCAAAATATGGTTCTGCTCCTAGTCCGGGGGTAGGCAACCTTGGCTCTTTTATGACTCGTGGACTTCAACTCCCAGAATTCCTGAGCCAGCATGGCTCAGCTTGGAAACCTCTCCCTTTCCCCTCAGCATGGCTGGCTCAGGAATTCTGGGAGTTGAAGTCCACGAGTCATAAAAGAGCCAAGGTGGCCTACCCCTGTCCTAGTCTTTCTGACTCCTGGGAGGTCTGTAGGAAAGATGCATTCACATCTTGAATAAATGCGAATTTTGCTGTCCTTGTAATTTGGGAATCTCAAGATGGCATACAGGACTGTATCCCATTCAAATTGCATAGAACTGGCCGAACGGGCGAAAGTCAAGAGAAATAAGACAACAGAATTTCTTCTGCAGTCCCATTCTCTACCCTTACGCCAGTGTTTCTCAACCTTGGCAATGTTAAGGCATGTGGACTTCCAACTCCCAGAATTCCACAGCCAGCAACGCTGGCTGTGGAATTCTGGGAGTTGAAGTCCACATGCCTTAACATTGTCAAGGTTGAGAAACACTGCCTTACGCAGTGAGGAGCACGGATGGAGAAACCTGTGCTGTCCTTATCCAGGGAATAGGTAGATTCTTCCATGCAGTGGGGAATCCATTTTCAAGGTTTCCAATCCTACATTTCCAAGCCTACCAGTGTTGAGTTACCCAAGGAGGAGAATCCTTTTCACGCCTTCTTGTACAGATTGGAAAATGTCAACGGTTGACCACCAGATGCCTTGTAGGTGTTCTGAATGTGAAACAGGGCTAAGGACAGCCTTCTCCAGTGGGGCCATTTAGACCTCTAGCTCTCCTAGCCCCCTCAGCTGGAATAGTCAGTCCAATGACTCCGTTGAGCAGGTAAGGTTTTTTTTAGGTACCCACAAATAATTTGCAGAATCTTCCCCTTTATCAGAATACAGAGATCTGCTGCATGTTGCAAGGAGAACCTAGTACTCATAGAAAGTCTATTCCCTTCACAGAAGAGAATGGGATGCCTGGAGCTTGGACTAAGCCAGTCCCCAAAGGCAAAATTTGGAAAGATGCAACAGGATAACATCTCCAGTGCAAGTGTCTATAAAACTGGCCAACCCACTTCTGTAGCTATAACCTTAAACAACACAGAAGAATACCTAATTATAGATCAGATTACAGAGCGGAGGCTAATGGTATTTAAGCCAAGGAGGACATCAGGAGTGGATTTTAATTATCTTGCATTTGGAGAAGTGTTTAATTAACATTGCAATAGGGCAAATGATTGTTCTTATCAGAAATATATGTAAATGTTTAACAGTACAGTAAAGGTAAATAACAGGATGTGAAGGCCTAGTGCATTCTAAATAAATAAATACTTTAGAATTTGTTAGGAGATTTATTTAGAAGTCTTTTCTGGATGTTTTGCATTTGAGAGAAAGATGCACTTTCCGGAAAAAAAATACCAATGGGCATAGATAACTGGTGTTTACCAGCTAATACTCTGATTTTAACATGTTATTAGTCATTTTTCTCAATGCTGACATACCCAAATACTAAGCAACACAGGTAAATAAGACGTTCCCAGATGTAACTAAGAAATGGTTTACCTCTAATATTTTTTTCAAAGTATAGGAAAATGCACTCCTGATTAAATTTTTGGAATTTATCCACTATATTTGACTGGTTTAAATACACACTGTCACACATATGCACAAATTCAACAAGTAAGCCATCTTTTCACTCATATCAGTTCAATCTACAGGAGCTACATAAAGAATATATCACAATCGCTTTTGAAACACAAGCAGACGTTGTCTTCACCAGACTAGGAAATCCACCATATTTGATGTTACACTTTTTTTTTTACACCCTCTTACAGATGAAGATACTTTGTTAATATGGAAGCCACCATGTGACAGTCCAATTTTTTTTCTTCCCAGTATATGCTGCGGGAAACAATCGGGACTACCGCATCTGAGCAACAAATTCTGAACAACCACTAAATGGCAGCAAAGAGTCACGAACAACTCTTAAAACTCTCTGCTCACACCTAGTGGTTCAGCTGGTAGTTGCAGGCCAGATACAGCAGCCCTGAACATAAGACAAAAAAGCAATGAGAAAGTACTACCAGGTACAGAAAATATATCTCTTAGAACAGGGGTCCTCAAACTTGGCCCTTGTATGACTTGTGGACTTCAACTCCCAGAATTCCATGCTGGCTGAGGAATTCTGGGAGTTGAAGTCCACAAGTCATAAAAGGGCCAAGTTTGAAGACCCCTGTGTTAGAACATGAACCCTGTAAAGAAAAAATGAGGCTGGTAAATTCTTTTTTGTCCCTCTCATGTGATATATTTTCTGCTTAGAGCAGTGTTTCTTCAACCTTGGCAACTTTGAGATTTTAACTTCCAGATTTCCTCAGCTAGCCAGCCGGGTGGCCAAGGATGAGAAACACTGGCCTAGAGTGAAAAATTTGGAAATACTGAACTAAGCCATAAGCAAGGTGGAACTGGCCGTTTTCAATCCCGGAACTCAAAGCTAGGGAATCTGTGGTTCTCCAAAAAGTTACAATTTTAACATCCATGACTACAAGCTTGCTTCACAGCCACAAGTTCCTCAACTTCATACTTGGAATAAGTTCTGTTTGATGCTCATTCAAGATTTATTTCTCAACCAACTGTTACCTCCTTGGATTTGGAATGTCAGTTTTTTGCTTTCACTTCTAACCCCTTTAGATTTGGGAAATAATGGCAATTGCTCAAATATTTGCTCTTCCACGCTCAATACATCAACTTTTTGGACTTCTGATGCCTTTCATATAATGCTCTTTTTTTTAAACACAAAAACAACAACTCATACTTATTTTTGAAACTATTTCCCACTCCCAAAATCTGATTCTACATTACAATTGCCTATAACATAGCAATTATACAAATTCTAGCAAGCAGTGTTAACAATGGTATGGGCAGTCTAATTTTGTATGTGATTAAAAAGAAAACAACACAAAGCAAGTACTGCAGTACTCCTACTAACCATTAGAGCAGGGGTCTTTAAACTTGGCCCTTTTATGACTTGTGGACTTCAACTCCCAGAATTCCTCTGCCAGGCACGCTGGCTGAGGAATTCTGGGAGCTGAAGTCCACAAGTCATAAAAGGGCCAAGTTTGAAGACCCCCTGCATTGGAGCAACAGATTGTCATTTTGAAACCGTACATTCTCCAGCAAGATTGGCTGAGTCTTTTTTCAAACGTCCTCGTGCGTGAGTAAGGGTTGAGTAGATGAAGCGCTGCTACCCACTGAGTTAATTCTTACGGAGTGATCTGTAGCATTTCCTTGACTACAAATGCCATTTGAAACATTTGAGTAAATCTGGAAAAGATATGAATTAGAATCAGCCTATTGGACACAACACCAAACAACCTATACATTTTTTGCATTTAATCTGCGAAAGCGAATGCTGTCTTGCCTTCAACAATCTGATAACGTGTATTATAAAAGCCCAAGCCACTGTAATTTTAGTGACTGCTTTTTACTGGCTCAGAACATTGATTCTGTTTATGATTTCTTGGCTTCATATCTACATTTTATAGAGATTTCAATTACCCTATCATGAGAGGCAATCAACAAACATCTCTTTATAGTTATTTCAATGTACGTATGCGATGCTATTAATAATCTCAATATTGTTCTGTTTTTTAAAAAGATAATTTTTACTTTAACGCAATGCTAATAATAACCTCAACATTTTTTTAAAAAAAAGATAATAATTTTACTTTAAGAATCTGTCTGTCAACGCTGCTAAATCGGATGTTTTTGCATTGACAACAGATGGAAATGTAGCCATCTTTTACTTTTTGCTTTTAGAGTTAGATCAGGGCTTTTCAATCAGTGGTACGGGTACCACCTGTGGTACATTGGCACCTGGCAGGTGGTACGTGACCATCCTAGAAAAGTGGTAGCAGGGGAGGGGAATGAGAGCGCCAGCGGGCGGGTAGGCAGGTGTCTTGCTCAGCTGTGCCTTGGGGGGCACTTTTTTCAGTGCCATTGTAACTTCGAACAATCACTAAGCGAACCATTGTAAGTCGAGGACTACCTGTACTTTATCACTTTTTTCCTTTTTTTGGTCATCAAGTTTTTGACAACTTGCTAGGCAACTGGTGGTACTCGGATACTGCCATATCCTAAAAGTGGTACAATGGGTGAAAAGGTTGAAAAGCCCTGAGTTAGATGATGCTGGGAGGGGGGATGTGAATGAGAGTCCAGCTAGACATAACAACACTAAACCTAGCGTGAGAAACAAGTTTATTGTAACCAGGGCTGATAAGGAATTGGGGGGCTGGAGAACTGGAGAGGAAGTCTGCACTTCAAGCTAATTGGGGAATGTGATTTATGACTGTTATTTGGAGGAGGGAATTGTGTTTTGATACTATGTGCCCAGGGGAGGGGAATTCAGTTTTTGGCTTCAATTATGCAGTGCCGATGTTATACTACTCAAAATAAAGGTTCTTTAAGGTAAACAATGACTCATAGTTCTTTTGAAGAGTTTCATCTGTCGGAACCATGACACTGTCCTCTTAATTTTGCGAGAGGTACAGTTTCCATCTATAAAATTAATAGTGTTTAATTCAAACATCAATTTATATATAGAGAGGGAGGGAGGGAGGGAAGGAGAGGGAGAGGAAAATGCTCAGGGCTGCAAGAACAGTTTTGCATTCACCTTTAAATACACTTGTTTAGATTTGAAAGTCTGCCAAGCACCCCGGATTGTGATCATGTGACCGGAGAGATGCTGTGGTGGCCTGAACTTTGAAGATTGGCCATAAGCACCACTTGCTCAGCACAGTTTTAAGCCTAAATGATTGCTGAAGAAGTGATTAAGTAATGGCCACCTGTAGCTAAAAGTTGTTTGAAGAAAAGGAAAAAAAACACCCTGAATAATGAAGGTAATGTAGGCTGCAGAACATGAAAATGACTAAGAAGAAAGAAAAGCAGTTCAGCGCAGGTCCAATTTTGATTTTGATTTTTAACTTGTAAATGTTAACCTTGTTTCTAACGGCACTTTTAGTCGTGTTTTTATACGATGTTATTTATCTTGCCTGTAAACCACTTAGCGGCGATGAAGCGGTGAGCAAATTTGATTGACGGATTCATAAATAAATAAATGGAAAGGCAGCACATATTGGAAGTGAAGCTGATAGGACCGGGACAGTGAGAAAGAGGGTAAGTTGGGAATTCCCCTAAGTGGGCCGTGTCAAACTCCTAAAGAAGGACCAGCCATGTTACAGACAGCAGTGAATTCAGGCGGTCCTTGAGTTACGACCACAGCTGGTCGTATTTGAGCTAAGTGAAACATTTAAATAAGTTTGCCTCATTTTACGACCTTTCTTGTCACAGTTGCTAAGGGAACCATTGCCTTTGTTATGTTAATGACACAGTTTTTAAGTGAATCTGGATTTCCCACGGACTTTGCTTGTCAGAAAGGCTTTTTGGATTATGATTTGGTGGAACATTCAAAAGATTTTTAGAAGGAAGATAAAGTTCACCCCTCAACTGTTTTTATTGGGTATTTTTGTGGACTTAAATGATAAAGAAACTATTTTGATGTTGAATTTATTAACTGCTGCAAGGTTATTAATAGGTTTATACTGGAAGAAAGATTCTTTGCCTACTTTAGAAGAATGGGTATTTAAAGTATCTAGTTTTGCAGAAATGGCAAAAATTTCTGCTTATTTAAAGGATCATACACAAGAAAGATATATTACTGTACGGAGAAGATGGATAGATTATATTCAGAAAAAGTATGGAACTAAAAAGTTTCATTTATTTTATGAATGAATATTATAGTAAATATTATAGAGAATTTTCTTATAGGTTATTGGAGTTAAAGGTTAAGTATGATATTTTCTTTTTTTCTTATTATTATAAATCTTCTTATTATTAACCCTGTATTCTGCTCTGGGAAGTGAAGGGAGGGGGGTTGGGGGTGGGGGGGAAGAAATGTGGGGGGGTAAGTGTAATATAGATAATGGTTGCTTATAGGGGTGCGGCCTGGGCACTCCCCTTATGCTGCGTTCATGGGTTTGATAGGGATGAGAGGTGGGCAAGTGTAGAGAGGAAGTAGGGCAGTGAGAGGAGAGGGGGAGGGGAAGAGAGTAGGATGGGAGGTGAGAAAGAGGAGGGAAGTAGGGAATGTTTTAAGAGAGGGTGGACGCGGCCTGGGGGGAGTGGGCAGGTCGTACCAATGGTTACGAATTCATCTTATTTCAAAACTGTATTGTATTTTTTTTTAATGTTTACATGGAAAAAATAAAAAACTTTTAATGACCCTGGGACGCTGCAACCATCATAAATATGAATTAGCTGAATTTTGATCATGTGATCATAGGGATGCTGCAATGGATGTTAAGTGCGAAAAATGGCCATAACTCCCTTTTTTCAGCACCACTGTAACTTTGAACAGTCACTAAATGAACTGTTATAAATCGAGGATGACCTATAGAAGTAAATCTTAGTGACTTGCAATAGTCTTTCCAATTCCCAACTAAGTACTTATACAAAGGCTATAGGTCAGTGATGATGAACCTTTTAGAGACCGAGTGCCCAAAAACCGCCCCCCCCCCCCGCCCGCCCCTGCCCACCCGCAGGGCCACCCACGACCTCCACGGCCCACCCCAGCAGATCGCCCAGGCGACCCAGCAGCACCATGGTGGCCACACCCTCTGCCCACGCCCCGCAGCATCATCTGTGCATGACGAGGCGCAAGGGCGGAGTCTTGTCCCCGCTGCGATGTCCTTGGCTGCGCTGCTCTGTGTGGGCTGCGCTCTGGGGTGACTCTCCTCCAGGGGGGCTGCTGGTGAGGAGGCCATGGGGGAGGTGGGGCTGGGGTCACAGCGCACATGCCCACAGAGAAGGATCTGAGTACCACCTCTGGCACGCGTGCCATAGGTTCATCACTACTGCTATAGGTCTAAATGTGGCCTATACCAGTGGCGTCCAACCAGGGACCAGTTCCATGGAGACAGGTTTTTCCCTGGACCGGAGGGGGTGTGGTTTCATGTACTGCCTGCATCCCACGGATGGGGCTTAGCTTTTTTGCACGGCCCCATTTCTGGCATGCCACGGACTGGTGGTTAGGGACCCCTGGCCTATACGGATTGGAATCTACCTCACTGGCCATTTTCAGTCACATTAAAAAAGCCATGTGACACATTCACACCAAAAGAAACATTTCATACTGAATCCAAACAAAATAGTCACAGTGGAAGCAAAATAACTACACACCCGCATGTTTTTCAAAAAAGATTCCACTTGTTTTAACACCCAGCTTCACACTTCCTCACTGATGAACAAAGAGATGGCTTCAAGTGTGAAAACGCAAGGAAGCATCAAGAGGAGACAAAACAGCTGAGTCCAGCTGCAATCTGTGCCTTCAAATGAGAATATAGCCATACCAGCAACAGACAAAAGAAGAGAAAAAGTAATCATGGGTGAATCACGAGCACGATGCCAAAATGGACAACCTAGTACAGGATTTATTAAATTTGTCTGGCCGCCCATTTCACAAGAAGTGATTCTGGGTGGCATACAATGAAAAAATATAAAACAATTTGTTGTTGTTAATTGCGAAGTCGTGTCCGACCCATTGCGACCCCATGGACAACGTTCCTCCAGGTCTTCCTGTCCTCTACCATCTTCTGGAGTCCATTTAAGTTCACACCTACTGCTTCAGTGACTCCATCCAGCCCTCTCATTCTCTGTCGTCCCCTTCTTCTATTGCCCTCAATCTTTCCCAGCATTAGGCCCTTCTCCAGGGAGTCCTTCCTTCTCATTAGGTGGCCAAAGTATTTGAGTTTCAACTTCAGGATCTGGCCTTCTAAAGAGCAGTCAGGGTTGATCTCCTGTAGGACTGACCGGTTTGATCGCCTTGCGGTCCAAGGGACTCGCAGGAGTCTTCTCCAGCACCATAATTCAAAGGCCTCAATTTATAAAACAATAACATGTCAGAAATAGTCATGTTAAAAGGTTAAAAAAAACAGGCAAGGGAGATACCTCAAGATATCACCGACCCCCTAGGCTAGATCACATAGCTAGGTTTTGAGACACTTCTAGAAAATCAGTAGGGATAGAAATGATGTCACTTAGGGGGTGCATGGCAGAGAAGGACCACCGTGTGCAGTTCCCTGACAGATGGGATCCATAACAGGCATCTTGTGCCCAATGTGATGGGACATTTAAGCCATCGTCAAGAAATTCAGTCAACAAGACCGAGGAAGAAGTAAAGTTGCTGATAAACAAAATTATTTGGAAAAGTCAATAAGAATCAAGGATAACTAAGTCCTTATACCTCTACGGCCTGCCGTAAATTGACA